GACTCACATTTAAGCATTTTCGATATATGATTGGACTATTCGATATTCCCATAATGTAGTTTTCGAAATAAGCTTTATGATGATATAAACAATTTGTAGATTCGATTAGCGTGAGAATTTTTAAAATTAGCATGTTATCGAAATTTAAATTTATTGTGATTTTGCCCATATTTGATAGAAATTAAAATCAATTTTTTAGTAAATTTTGATAAAAGTTAAACAGTTTTGGATTCCATGAAATATGTTATTAAAATTAATTGTTAACTTTCATTTATATTAAAATTTAGATTTCAATCGATACCAAATACGATTTTATTAAAATAAAAAAATATCTCAAAAGTTGGGGGCACTTGCCCCCAGGACCCTCCCTAGGTTCGCCCATGTCTATATCTACATCTACCCAAGCAAGGGACGAATAACTGGAACGGGAAGGAGGGAGGTAAATCCGCAGTCTGCTGATGGACATTGACTGCTGTGTGGCTAAGTCATGGGCCAGCATGTTGCCTTCCCAAGACCCTAAAGTTCATGCAGTCCACAAATGAACGGGTTACTCACGGCATTGAGGTTCCCGTAGAATCAAGGAACTGAACCACATAGCTCGAGTCACTCTGCAACCATTATGCCCTAAGTACTGGTATAATAATGTTGGAAGTGAAATAACAAATGGTACTATGTTGGTTTTACATGTTTCTAGCAATTCTTAACAATTAAGAAAACTTGGTTTGCTTCTTTTATTCGAGTCCAATCCAAACAGCTGTAAGAGGTAGCTAGAAGTAGTGTCAGTTGAATTCAATTTACTGAAGTCTGACCCCCTATCACCAAAGGGACCATCAATCCATCAAGTGATGTTGTCTCTAGAGACATCCAGTTTCCAGTTCAACAAAAGGGTAAAACTACTTTGCTAGAAGAATAATGTCACAGAATTGCCAGAATCCTAAGTGATGAGAGGTCAATTGATGGAAAAAATGACCGTGTTTTAAATAGTTCAATGATATAATATTACGTAACATCGTGTCAACCATTATATTAATTATTTTAACGTTGTAGTATGGTTGTCAACAAAATTAGCTGGCACTCCATTTGTAGTTGCTACAAATAAATATTATAATAAATGCATGTTTGGTACAGTAGAACAACTTCGTAAATAAGAAAGATGTCGTCATTATGGGACAATTAAGAGAGAAAGGCATATTTGAATATGAAAAGACACATAGCGTGGCATGTTTGTATTGTGAATATGAAGTTACGCATACGTACTCTCTCCGTCTCATTTACATAGACTGGTTTTCTTTATTTTCTTATCTCATTTATATAGGGTTGTAAATGAATTGGATATAGATCGGACAACAGGTATAGGCTAGGCTATTCTTAACAGTTATGTTGATTTTGGATTGTTAGAATAAATTAAACGAATCAATATTAATTAAGGAAGTTGAATTAGAACTTAGATATGTCTAAAATTAAATTGAAGATTCTTAATAAATTTATGTATGTGTAATCCCTCTTTTTCTTGGAAACATGGACAAAACACCATTATTTACTAATAGTTGTTGATAATTAAATAAAGATAAACTAGGAAAATTCTTTGCAAAAATTGCTTTCTCAATAACATGAAATAAAATCTATTAATATGTGTGAAAACAAAATCATCCTATATAAATAGGGCTATAAGTTTGGAAATTCCACTTGAGGTGGATACATTTCATGCCACATTCTATCACGTGGCTCAATTTTGGATGCTTTGTATGACTCGATTCTTTCATCGTATCTAATCCAACATGTTAACGAGCTACATAAGAGCATCGTAGGTCCGATTCAACAAACATGACATACAACTCTCTTCTTTATGTCTATTTTATTTAGAATACCATATGTCCCTATTTGGTTCAGCTAGAAAAGTTTATTAAAATTTAATTTAAATTCAACAATTAATTTTAACCACACATTTAATGGAAACCACAACTTTTCAATCAAATATTTCATCAACTTGTATTAAAATTTACTAAAAATTGATTTTTATCTAAATCAACCAACGTCTATGTGTCAAACTCACAACTGTTTTACGTTTATTGTAGGATTAAGTTGGTCAATCAAGATCAACTTAATAAATGAACAATCAACTAGCGGTGGCAAAAAAACTCGGAAGCTCGAACAGCTCGGGCTTGACTCGGAAAAAGCCCGAGCTGGGCCGAGCCCCACTTTGGGGAGTCGACTCGAGCCCGGGCCGGCCCGTGGCCTGGGCCAGCCTTCTATAAAAAAAAAAAAAAATTTTGGAAGGCAACTTGCTGCCTGGCTGCAGTTGCCTACAAAGGCAGCTAGGAAAAAAAAAACCAAAAAAATTGAGTCGGCTCGGCTTGGCCCGCTAAAGTTCGGGCCAAGCTTCATTTTTTTTGGACGGGCTCAGCTCGGCTCAGCTCGGGCCAAAAAAAAGTTCGATCCAAAAAAGCTCGAGTTTTTTCTTTTCGGCTCGGCTCGGCTCGTTGACATCACTACAATCAACTGGGATTTGCAATGGAAATAGAAAAGTGCAGCAAGTAATTCATTACTTTTGTTAATTGATTTTTTTGAAACTATTAATGTAAGTACTTGAACAATGTTGACTTGCAAATTATCAGTGTTTACCTCGTCTTCAAATGAATGCATTCCTAAATATTATTGTTAGTTTCGTTATCAGTCTCACTAAGTTGTCCAGTTTAAATTTATATAACTCGAGGTGTTAGCCAGAAGAGTCTTCTGAGTTTGGATAGGAATGTTATTGTCGAGTTAATTGTTCTTAAACTTGAGAGTTATCGACTTATCATGTCTTAACTTGTGTCAAAATTAGAGGCCGAGCTGAAGATGTTGTAACACAAAGTGACTTGTGGTAAGAATTCGACCACATTAAAGTGTTTGACCCAACCTCAGAAAATGCCTGAAGGACAAGGAAACTAGCTCTAGCTATGAATGGTAAAGGACGACAAAGATAACTTAGCTCGTTAGTTCAATAAATTCAGCACAACTATGAAGTAGTTGGAACATCTTCAATGCATTATATGCACGTAAATAAAAGACTTTCAATATATGTGACAGACATGTGTTGGAGATTCGAACCCTGGTTTTGCTACCTTATATTTTATCAAAGTCGCAGTTTTACTAAAACACGGTTTTACTTATAAGCTAGCTTGGTGATCTGCTGACACATGTCTTCAGTTCTGACCGTTGGATGAAATCTGGATTGAGATATATATGCTGGCTACGACTGTTCACTTCATTCCTGATTCTTCTCGCGTTCAAAAGGATTAGGGTTGAGAGAGTTCTAGATCTAGGGTTTGCTTCTGATTCGTTCACTGTAAATTCCTTGATTCTCTTTCATGTTTTACGAAGGTTAGAGTTAGAATACTTGATTTCTTAGAGTGAAATCAGTTTATTGTTGGATTCTGTAACCTGAATGTGGTGGTGGTCAGATCTGGTGATTCTTGTGTGATTCAACCGAGATCTGTTGAATCCTTGGAGAGATAAGTCTCTATTTTGTATTCTTTTAGTTGTTTAACCTTCTTGTAACCTTCGTT